TTTTTTTTGAACATGAAAATTAGTTACACTTTGGAGTGACACTTTACAAAGATGCTTTCTTTGTAAGGGAAGGGAAGGAAAGGAAAAGCAAATCAGATATGAGTCTAAAGGTATTAGACTCAAACAGCCAACTTCCACCCTGCCTGACCACAGCCACAGAACACAAAGTGTTATGACATTCTTGGGAATGTATGTTTATGTAAATGTTACCTTTTTATCGCAGCTGGTAAGGTCCTGGTCATTCCTACCACAGGAGCTTTCACAATCATTACTGACCCCCTTTTGTGTCCCTCAGCTTACACAAAGTTGTGTAGCTTGTTGCATTCCTAGGAAGATGCCTGGGTCCCTTTACACTGGACAAAAATGGCTTTGAGTAGTTCAAAATTTAAATACCTACTGGCCTCTTGTGGGCTGTGTTGTTACATCTTTTACACTGGCTTCAGCACTTTTTCATTCTTGGAGTAACAGGATGATAAAACTTCAAGCACGATGCTAAAAGGAATAAACCTGTAGGTCAAAAAGATACTTTTTTATTTAAAAATAAACATTACCTTCCCAATCCCAGGTTGTCTTATGACTGATTTTGACACCATTTCAACACTTGGATCAAAGACAGACTATGAAATAATTTAACAGGGTTTTTTTTAATGCTAAAACCAAAATATGTGGGGTTCCAGGTTTCAAACAGTTAAACATGCAAAAAAATTGTGCTTTTATGTTTAAGCTGTTTCCCAGTGCTGTTTTCACACTTCCAGGCTTTGGCTTTGTTTATTTTAAAATTATATATGCAGCACTTTCTCTCCATTCCAAGTCCAGCCAGTTCATTCAGTTACTCAAGCAGCGACTTGGTGTTTTAGAAAATCAGTTCACAACTTCAGATTAGAGGTCATTCTTTAATCAGCTCTCTTCTATTCCTTAGTAAGTCTAAGATTCTGCCTCTTCCTCACATGTAGGACTTCATTCCCAATGGGAAGGGTACTTCTCAAGGAGGGAATGAATTACAGATCTCAGCTTGTGTATTTAGTTTTTTTTTAACTTTACTCGTGTTAACCACAGCGCTGCTGACATAGGGCAGGAGATTGTTTTAGGTGGGTAAGGCCAATCCATCCTGCAGAACACAAACAATCTGTCTGGCTTGCAACTAAGGCTTAACAAGATATAATGGCAATAAACTGCTTAGCTGACCACACTTGATTTCTGTTTGGAACAGAAGGTTACCTACTCCATATTTATGTTAAATTCAGTTGAAAAGGGAGTCTAGTGCAGGAGGCACCTGGGTTATGCTCTGCAAAACACAGGAACTGAGAAAACCAAAGAACACAAAAATCTAGCCAACTTCCACAGGCTGCTGGGAACAATTCTATGGGCAAACTCTGGAAAAAGTAATAGACACTACGGTGTCCCATCCCTCTTCAGGAATATACCACCTTTTCCTGATAATTTTCAGGTGATTTAGGTGCTAGGTTAGGAAAGAAAGAAGAAGGTGAAAAGTTTAACAAAAACCAAGAAAAAAACAGCGCAGAGGCTGAAGCGTTGTCAGCTTTTCCAGTGAGCAAAAAATACCACATAGAGAGAGCCAAAATAAACATGCTGTTTCACAGGCTAAAGAAGGAATCCAGCAAGTCAGATGCTGATCCCTTGTCTGGAAGCTTGTGTTCTATTAACACTGATCAAATCAGAATTGTGTAGAAATGGGACTGGCAACACCTCAAAGTGGATAAGGTGTTGTTTATTGCTTGTTTAATAAATGCAGGAAGAAACCAACCTTCACTTATCTCTTCAGTATTCTACTCGAGGAGCAAGAGCCCAACTTGGCTACAGAGAAACCTGCTTTCTGGACTGAAAGTTGTGTTTTCCCCAACGAAGACCAAAACACTGACAACACAATCCAATTCCTCCCACCTATCCAAACTGACACCTTGACATTTGTGTTGCCTGAGTGTTTGCTTTCTGTACTCTTCACAACATCCTAAATACCGAGAAGACAGCAGTGGATGTAGTAAAACCAATCAAACATGGCTTTCCTTCTTTTGAAATAGGAGGAGTCAAAACTAATTTTCAAGAGGAGGATTCCATCGTGCATTATCAGTTTTGATTTAATTCCTGACAGGTTTCCTTGTGTGCCTCCTTCAGAGGCAAACAAGATAGATATGCAAAGGAAACCTGTGCAGGATATCCCCTTCTGGTCCCTGGAAATGTTGCCTTTGCCTTTTCAGAGGAAAGTTGCACCTGGTACTGGGACTAGGGGAATTAAAGTCAGACTAATAAAAAAAACCTAAAGGCAAACACAACTGCTTCTCAATGGAGAAATACTAGTAGTAAGATGCACATAACTGCAGGTTTCTACCCCCAAAATTCAGGGATGAACATGTATGCAGAAAAGGTTGAGCTCTCTGAGGGGTGTCTAGCTAAAGACAAGCTCTGTCCACGGAAAGAGATGATTTCTGGAAAACACTGGCTATCAACTTACTGGGTTTAAAGTAGTGCAATACAGTGGCTTATTTAATTCTATTTTAAGCATAAGCAGTAACAGGCAGATAAGACAAAGAACCAAGAGGGAGCACAAGTTGAGTAGCATGGTCCAGCAGAGAGGAAGGGCCAGGAACTGCAACACCCTTTGCCAGACTGTTTAAGCTTTATGTGTTCAAATGTTCAGAGCCATATTGCCAGCTCTGGTGCCAACCTGGCTTTTAATTCTGAGTAAATAATTTAGTCTCTCTCTTCATTCAGCTTTGCTATCATCTGAGTAAACTTGACTGCTGGGTATTACATGGCCCAAAAGCTTGGGCAGGTCTAATCATAACCCCTTCTGTGACTTTCACACCGTGCCATGAGACTGTAGCATCTGTTGTACTCAGGTGCTGGAGCCTGATCTCTATCAGTGTTCAAATAAGAGTGGATTCTTCTCTTTCCTTGAATGTAATCGAGAAATTAACTTCTTTGTGATTATGTGAAATTCACTTTGAGACACAAGAAATCAATGCTTGTGTTGCCTAGAGCATGCAGATCTTTGACTGCCTGTACTTTACGCACAAAGCTGCAAAGGCTGCTTTCATTCACATATTTCTTTTGTGCTTTTGAATGGAGGATTTTTTTTTAACTTACAGGAGCTTGCTTGAGCTGCTCTACTTTATCCTAAGGTGACTGTCACTCTTGCAGACACCAGGAAATACTCATCTACAGACTTGGCAGGAGAAACAAGGTTATTTCCAGGGACTTCAAAAGAAGTGTTTTGTTTTTTCTCCATAGCAAATCTATAAAGAATGACCATCTATGTGCAGGCTGCATGATTCCTCCACTGAAGAGACAGCAGGGAAGTGACAGCAACCAGGGTCCTGTTTTGTCCTGTCTTCATTCTCAAGTCAATTTTGCAACTGTGAATTCACATGTTAAGATTTTTCCATTGTAGAATAATTATAGAGGAAAAGACCAGAATAAATAGATACTTTTGAAAGTCTTGGAAGAAATGCAATTCTCTTCCCTACATGACTACTAGGTAGCTGACATTTAAGAATAATTTGACCAAGTCATCTTTATCTTGAACCTTCAGAGAACGAGTTGTGCTTTATCTGGGGACAGCCCTTACACTCAAGTGCAACCTTAGCTTTTGTTTTTACGTAGCTTTGGTACCTGCTGATATCAGACTATCTGCATGAGGACAGAACGTGCTATTGGCCTGTTACCATGACAGAAACAGGATAAAACTGCTTAAGTGTGGTGACCAAACCAACCAGCAAACAACCAAGGCACTGAGCTAGGCTCTGCCCTGTGCAAAGTTTATCAAACAGAAGACATCACAGTTGGTTCTAAATAAAATCAACCTATGTTTGCTATATGCTTACCCACTTGGAGAGAGGAATTCAGCCCTCTGGGAAACAACTGTGTTGTAGGTACTAATCCTGTGGTCTCTGGTACAAAGAGTTCCAGGCACTGAACAGGAGAGAGTGGATAAAATATGCTTGGAATTTTCATTTAAGAGAGAAAGAGTAAAAAGACAAGCCTAGCCAGAGACATAGCTTAGCTTGGTTCCTATTGTCAGCTCAGTTTCAAACACACTGATTACAGAAGCAGCAGCCCCACTCATCTCAAGTGCTTGCACACGGCCAGAGCTCCTTTCTGCTAATCTCAAGCACTTCTTAAGACTACCTCTGCTGCCAGAAGAGATCAGAACAGCTGATAAAAGGTCCTTCAGATCTCAAATTCTATTAAAAAAAAAAGTAAAGAAAAAAGAGACAGAAATATGTTAATTATGATAAGGCCAGAGAGTAAATACGAGGATTAGCTCCAAATCTGTTAGACAAAATAACACTTCAAGAGGTATTTGAATATTTTGATTCTGATCAAGTGGTGTTTCTCTTGCCTAGTAGGAGGTGGCAGCAGTGCAGCCCTCATCACCAAAGCATGCAACAAGGCTGACATGTGCTTTGTAGCAGTGAATTGATGCTAAACAACCTGATTTTATCAACAACCCCACTCTCAGGACATTCCACACATGTTGAACGGGAGTGGACAGCAGGCCAGATTTCCTTCACTGGTGTAAATCATTCACTTCTACTCAAGCCAGTGAAGCACTGCCAACTAACACCTGCTGAGCATCTGTGCAAGGACCTCAAGGTCAGTGTCTTAGAGTCCTTTATACCTTAAATAACCATAAAGTTATTCTCCTCTAGAAAATCTCCTTGGGCAGAAGGTGACATATCTGTTGAACTTACCTCCTATATGCACATTGCCCTCCAACCAACAAGTATTCTTTAGCAGATGCATGGGAAGCTGATGACAGAACAAGTAGTTTTATTCACTGAGTCAGTTTTGCCATGGAAGAGCACTGAAATGCTGGAAAATATTTATAGGGAGTTCCACTTTCAATGTTATTCAGAATACCAGTGGTTATTGTGTTCTTTTTAAAGGGTGCTTAGATGCAATAGTGTTACCCTTTTGAAAAAGTTGGTAGCACCAAGGAGAATATAGCTATCAAGATTTACATAAAACTAACAGTCGTGTTATGCTCAAAAGCTTAAGTTTATTGCTCTCTTTAATGACTATCACCAGTATTTTAAAAAAGAATGCCAGTTCTTTCTGCTAGCTTCTCACTGAAGGAAATATTTTAAATACAGCAATAAAATCAAGTGGTTTAAAGATAACACATTTTGCCACACATTCATGCAAACCCTGCAGACAGGATTTTTACAGGTTCATGGATACAGAATAAACACAAAGATGTGTACTGAAATATTGGGAAACTTTTTCCCCACAGTGATGAATTTGTAGGTGTAACGTTTCAGGCCTTACCCTGCCCCTGCTGACGTCAATGGCAAAACATCAGTGGGAGCAGGATCAGCCCTTATTGTTCTGAGAGCTGCTTTACCTTCTCCTGATTAGGAAGTGCAGTAAATTCGCAGAATCCTCTGCACTAATAAAAGCAGTGGGTTTTGGTTATTGTTACAAATAAAGAGAAGCAAATATATTTTTAGTAGGTCATCAGAGCTTCTATTCACAAAATACTCATCTTTCATGTTAAGGATCCTGCTACCTCCATTTTTCTCTGCTCAGTGAAGCACTAAAACGTGTGCTCACCTCTAAGCATTAAACACAAACCATAATCTTCCCAGCCTGATTGAAGTCTAAACCAAAAAGCACAGGCAGCAGTCTATATTACTGGAAAGGAAACACTGTTGCCTGGACCTCTGGTTAGAATGGGTTAATTATTGTCTAAATTTGGTTTGAGGGCAAATTTATCACAAAGCAGCCAAAAAGTTCACGCTTTTTTTTTTTTAAAGCTGCCTTTAGGATTTGCATTAATTTTAATAGGCACTGGACACATGGTTACCCCTCAAAGCTTTGAAACAAGTATAAATTAATAGAATAAAAGTGATTTAATTATTAGACTGCTAATAAAGATGAACTAAAAAAATTCCTCACCTGATTTAGAATCTCAGATTTCAGGAGAAATTGTATTCTATGTAAAAATAGAAACTGTTTGCAGAAATACAATCTGTTTGCCAGATAACTAAGATGCCCAAATATTGACAAAGAAAAGGTAAAGCACAGAGCATTAATGTTCAGATTAATGTCTACTCAGATTCACCCCGCTGTCATGATACTGGGGTACACTGCTGGTAAGAATTCGAGGCAAGAATTTGACTCATTGAAATATTGTTTCCCCCTTAGTTCTGATAACACTGGTAGTGGACTGCTTTAGAAAAAATAAACAAGCAAACATGATGTGTGAAACATCATTTCAACGTGAATCTACTTGAGTCTTTCTATGCAGAGGCTCAGAAGGTTTACAATACACACAGTATTCGGTAAATTTATATGTAAAAACAATCAGAAAGAGGCAAAAATTTACTTTCAAGCTTAGTCAACATACGGCACATTTCAGCATGACAATTCAGAAAGTTTCACACTGTATTTGGATATATTAGCAAGGACCTTTTAAAAAATAGCAAACTGAAGACAGTGTATTTTTCTGGCTTTTTCTTGCTTTTGTAACAAATGAAGCTGCTATTATTATTTACAGTATAAATAAGCCTTTTTTGGTGAAGATTATGTCCTGTCACATATGTTTAAGACAAGGCGTATCTCAGCTCTTAAATGTCAATGCAAACAAGAGCATAAAAGCAATATCAAAGTAAAATAGTATCTTTCCAGCTAAGACAGCCAGGTTACCATGTGTCTCTTATCAGATCTGAAATGTATCTGAGTGCAGTCAAAAGTTCTCCTGGCTTTAGCCTTTAGGAATATCATGAACACTTATTCTTCTGCTGCTCTAGAAAGCTGCTTTCCGTACAAGCTCATGACATGATGCACAAATTGATACTGTTCACAAGTCTGGATCATTCCACCCCTGAAAGGCAAGAAGAAAAGGGGAGGGAAACAGCAGTCTTATTACTCAAAAACACATGAGGAAATAGCACAGCTAACATGAAACTTGTGCTCCACACCAAAGATCTATTCCAAAGCTTTCTGAAATGAGTGAGAAGTGCCCTTTGATTGTGACCAGCTTCAAGTCTGACCTTGAGCTCCATTTCGAAAGTTTCTGCTAACAAAGGAACAGAAGGTAATGAGAACAGGAATGGGCTTTACATTCATTTTCCTTGGCAGAGGCTCTCCTCCAACAAAGCACTACCATTGTAATTTACTACCTGAGCACCTATACTCCAAAAACCTTTCTGTGAAAAGTAATTCCCATCCCAAAGCCCTGGAGAGATATATGGGAGCAGGGGAATAAAGAGGGGAACCAGCTTATCCAAGACTTCAAAAATGCACTAGGGACTGAATTTGGACCAAAGAGGGACAGGCCAGGCCAGGCAAAGCCAAACCAGCCCAGACAGCTGATGCAATTTTCCCATTCTGCAATGAGGATTCCTTCCTCTATGCCACTCCACATCAAGCTTTTGGCAAGTTAGTCAGAGAACTAGAGATACCAGCAGGATTTTGGAGCACACAATGTTACTTTAGAAAGGTAACTTCAGATTTGAAACTGAGTTGACTGCTTGATAGCAAAATATCCCTCAGCACAGTAATCTGTTTTAGTTCAGTTAATTTTTCAGCTTTTAGAGTTCTCTTTAAAACTGAAACCTGAAAGGAAATGCAAGCAGGAGCAAAACCAGTTTGATTTTCCATGTGTTATTAGCCTGTGTATTTCAGCAAGGAGCATATTAACCAACATACGAGCACTACAGAGGGAAACAGAAATGAACAAAATCAGGATGAAGTTGTTAATTTTTAGCAGCTTCTACTAACATTTGAAATTTTGCTAAGAGTACCCCTTTGAAAGTGATATGATCTCTTGACAACCCATTATGAAGAAAATTAAAACTTGTGTCTGAAGCTCACAGAGTGAATGCAGAATTGTGCCAGCATTGGTGCTGGTGCACAGATCCTGGCAGCACAGTGCCAAAAGGAGGCCGAAATGACAAGTGGAGTTGAGGAACATGGGAATCCATGGGTGACATGGAGCCAACCAGACTGTGTCAGTCTGAGGAAGAGCGTATGCAGTGCATTCCCTTAGAAACCTCACCAGAGGCCATTCATGAAAATTGCTTCCTCTCAGCCAAATGGGTAGCAGACTGCTAGCACCCTCCTTAGGGCCCTTTTCGATGGGGTCCATCTTAACCACTATGGGTCACACAGTAGCCATACCTGTAAGGGGAAGATCAGTGGGAAATACAACCTTATCCTTCAGCCCCTTGCACTTACTTTGTTAAGCAGCTGCTTGAAATAACACTTAACAATAAGCAGGGAAGGGCAGGGACGAATTCTCCAACAACTAGCAAAGGTGAGAAACACACACTGTGTTTCTAAAAAAAATATAAATATTTCCTAGCTGAGCATCTCCTCCCCATCTGCTCTACTTAATACAAGCTCACAGTTGGTTTGTTTTTAAGTCCCTCTGTGCTCCACACAGCACTGAAATGTATCTATGTCACACAAGGAGTACAAGGAACATTAGTCATATCTGATGATTCTCCCCAAGAAATTAATTATCAGGGGGTTGCACCCTGAAGTTGAAGCAACAGAAACATTAGGATGGCCATTGAGATTCAGACCACAGGAGATTATTTTCCTTTTTATCTGTTTTCCTGCTGTGTGGTGGCTTTCTCCCTTGCTGCACATATGCATACCATGACATGTGCTTGCTGTCCAGGCTTTGGCACAGAATTATATTTTCACCCCTATTTGCCACAGAAACCTTTGAAATCTGAGTTGCATTGTGGGAAATGACAGCAAATGTCTCTCAGCACTGTGGAAAGGATGCAGGAATGATTACTTCCTCTCCTGAGTCATACCAGGTTATTTTAGGACCATCTGTTGGCCACTGATGCAAAGCCCAGTGCACAGAACTTTTCCAAGGGATTTGTGAGGGAAAGAAGGGAAAAAACCCTTTGTTCTCTCCTTACCCATGGCAACCTCAAAGGTGGTTCTCAGGGCTAATGTCAACCTTTCTACTTCTGTGTAAAGCAGGGAGGTGCAGTCTTTCAGACATCTATTCTGGCCTGAATTCAGCCTTCTTTCCGTAAGTCCCTGGTGACTCCTTCCCACCCTAGACAGTAATGATCAGGCAAGAGGAGGAGACAGTCTTCCCTCTTACAGCTGCCTGGACACTGTCTCAGCCTCTCATGTTACTTTTGAAGCCTCCTGAAGATTTTGGGGGGAGTTATTGAAAATGAGAGTGGGTGGCTTCCAAGAGACTACAAGCCATATTTTCAGTCCTTGAAGAAATCATGCTTTTCTGTAGGAAGGATGGTGATCTGCTTTCCATCTCGAGTATTTTACCCCATGACATTTAAACGGCTTTTATCTATTCCATCCCACTCCTGAGAGCTACATGGCAGCTACAGAGGCTCCTGCAGTCTTTCTTTCCCCCTATGGTGTCCTTTAAGTATGAATTTCCTTCTTCAGAGTCTTAAAGTGACTGCCAGTTCCCCTCTCCCTTCAAAGCTAGTATTTGCAATTGGCCTGCTGTATCACACACATTTGTAAGCAGGCGCCTTTAGCCTTCATTTGTGTGGTGATTCCCCTGTGTAGCATTAGTCACAGAGACAGATATTTCACATCCAGACAGATATTTAACTGGACCATAGATAATCAGCATTCACTATTCATATCCTGGCTTTCTTTTTCTCAAGAAATCTTCCATTGTCTGAGCTAAAATCCACCGAAACAGCCAAATCTCTAAGCCCCTGCAGGTCCCTGTCTATCAGAGCCTCAGCAGGGCAGCAAGCATTTCATTTTTTGCCTCCCACTGAGCATAATTTCTTCCCTGAAATAAAGTTCAGCGTGGGGTTGAGGTTCTTTTTTTTCCTCAGAAAAATCTTTGGTATGTTTTTCGTGACATCTCTTCCCCCGACTACATTTATCATTATCATTAGAGAGAGCACTGAGACATGTTTTGATGGCATTTGAAACCAGTAGGAGAGGAAAAAATAACATCTCTGGTACAAAATTCAAGTCTGTTTACTCCATAATCAAACTCAAGGTGGTGTGTTAAGAAATGCTTAACTGGAAACCATTAAATTTGTGGAGATTTTCACAGCTCCTTTCATATGTCTGCAAACACTCCAGGTTGTGCACTCTCCTTCCCCAGGCAATGTCTCTCCCACCGTGGCTCACAGCTCCAGTGTATGAGATGAGTTTTCATTACTCCTTCTGAGAGGACAGTGATGATCTGTGGCTCTGAACTTAAGTACAGCAGATCTTTGAGCCTTAGCTTTTGTAGGAATAGGGGGCCAACTTGTCAGCTGGTAAAAAGTCACTCCTTGCTGCATGGAGATGGGCAGCTGTGCAGACTTTGATGCCAGCTGTGAACCTAAATCAGCTCTAGCGCTGTTCATTAATGTTTACTGCTCAGGCAAAGACTACAAGTCAGAGGAACGTTCTCTCTTCCCCTCTATTTGCTTCTCCTTAAATAAGGGAAAATATTAGCATTTTTTCTTTTTGTTTTCTGGAAAAAAACCAGGCTTTCTTACCTGTCTAACCGTAACTGGCAGGCTGTTCGCAAAATGTCAACTATGCCCTCGTTCTTCAGCTGTTTACAGCAGACACTTGTTGCAATAAAGCAGCCAGTCCTCCCGATGCCTGCACTAAGGAAGGGAAGAGCAGAGAGAGGCACTGGAGATGTCAGAAGGATTTTGGAACTTTCTTGTCAAATGACTGCCACTAAACCAGCACAGACTCCATGATCCCTTTTGTCCCTCCGACCTTTGCCAGCTGAATGCTTCCAGATGGAAAGCCGTAACTAGGAAAAGATACCAGCTTCACTGGATGACATGATTAAGTGTGAGCCACCACAGCAAAAGGGTGAACATTGCAGATACAGTGCTAAAAATGGACTACTGGAGACTCACTGACCCAGTATCTTGTTGAACCTCTCACTGAACCATTGAAAAAAAGCTTCTGCATTTCTTAGTAAGATTTGGTTTGACAGCAACCCTTGCTCTGCAGGCAAACTTTGCTTTGCAATTCTCAATTCTAACCGCTTCTTTGAAAGCTATTTTCATGCACAGGTAGAGTAAAAAAACCCCAACCCTTGGTTAAATAATTAGAGTTAACAGCACTATAGTAAGCGTGATGTCATTTTCTGACCAGATCTACAATCTAGTAACTTGAATTAGAGCAGAACACAACAAATCCGCTATCAAAAAAATTTCTTTAATTTTTCCTAAACGCTTTTGTATCTGATGCAGTCCTTAGTTAATGACCAGAACGGAGTTTATTTTCAAAGACACAGGGCTATAGAAGCTGCAAATTCTTCTCATCACCTAACAAACTACCAGCAAATGCTGGAAGCCCTTCTTATGTGTGAAATAAGTAAGTGTTAGATAATTAATAATACTCAGGAATAATTACTTGAAACAACTACAGGAAATCCTGCTTTCATTTACATTGTGAGAAAATTGTAATGCAAAACCACTGGCAACAAACGTTCAAACAACATTGGAGTTCACTGTTCACAGCTGCCCACAAGTCCTTCATCTTCCACTTGACCATAACCAAACAGACCACAGAACACAGCTCCTGATACTGCTTACTGTCCAGAGACCTCAGTGTTTTGCAAAGGGAGGGAACAACACCCATTTTTAGATAAAGGAAACAACACATGTCCCAGGACAAGCTGCAGGTCTCTCAGTGGCTGAGACAGCAATGGGTGGCACGCTATCCACATAGAACACTTCATAATCCTATCACCATGTCTCTTAGTATTTTTTTTTTTCAAATAAAAATGCCCCGTTTCTCCCGGGATTATTACTGTGTCATGGGGATAATATGTGAAATAAGAGTTATGCAGTAACCAGCACCAGATAACATAGTTCTTCAAGGAGCTCCTGGAGAGTCACAAATTTCATGGACAAAAAAGAGGACCTCCTTACAAAACGTTTCTTAGTTTCATCTGAACTCTGCCAAATTTTCTCCACATCTGTTTTAAAACACAGGCAGAAAAACTGGACATATGGCATCACAGGAGCGTTTTAATAGTGATTATTCCATATTAGCTTGTAGTCGGATCTTTGATGACACAAGGCTACCAAGCATTTCTGCCAAGAGGCTCTTTAAAAACATTCTCATTGTATAATATCCATTTACTATGGATTTTGGAGAGCAACCATCTGCTGTTTCCTAGAAAACATTATTCAAAATTAAGTAAAATTCTGTACAAAAATAAATTTGGCAAAATGTATGTTATTGAAATTATGGAAGATTACCCTGGCAAGACTAACTTCATCTGTTATCAGGCTTTCTGCTATTTACCTTGAACAACTATTTTGAGGACACTAAACACTGGCAAAACAGGGCTTCCTTTTAGACCTCTGGAATGTCTCCAGTTCTCCAAGAACTGTAATTCATCTATGCTAAACTTTTATGGTTTAGAGTGTGTGAACCAACTTTTTTAGAACACTCTTGGATGAAAATCAACTAGCATATCTGATTTAATAGTGGTTGCTGATGCTTAACATGCTCCCTAGTTAGCAGAGCAGAAGAACATACTTCATCATGTCTACAAATGATAAGTACATCACCCCTTTTTCTTTCTGAGGATACAGAAGTATCTATCCTCATCTATTTTTATTCTGCTCTGATTGATAATTACAATTTTCTCATCAGGCATCAAACCACTGTAAAGACTTTGCTTCTTCCATAGAAGTTTTCATCTTTGCCAAGGATTTTTACTGATACTTCAGTTGTACTATCAGTTGCATACCTTTCCTGACTATAGATTACTACTTGCTGTAATCAGCTTTGCCACTCTTTCATTCATGTATTGCATTTAAATTGTCTTTGGCCTAATAATGATTGAAAAAAAAAAAAGCAAAGAAGGAATCTACAAAACAGGGGGTTTTGATGCTTGAAGTTGAATGTTATTGTTTGTCTGCTTGCATGTGTCTTCCTACTCAATTTCACCTAAAGTATGTTAATCTTTGCTAACCTGGCCCTTAAAAGAATTAAAGGCATATATTACTGGTAAGGCAAATAAAATGAAATTATTCTTGCAAGTAACTGAGCTACTGCCAGCTTCTGTGTTCAGCTCAGACTGTATCTGAATGCAACACTTGATAACAGAAAATCATTGTCATAAAAGCTTTGAAACTCCAAATAAATTGCAGAAGCAGTCGGGCAAGATTTCACACGTGTGACTGATGGCCTATATGGCAGTGTCTACACTGTGTCACTGCATGTGAAGAAGCCCTTGGAATTCAGACACAACATTTATTTACCTGCAGTGAACAATCACTGGGGCATTCTTCTCCTCTGCACTCTGCATGGCCTCTTCCACTTCCAGTACTAGCTGTAACAGAGGAGGGGCCTGGTCTGGTGTCTTCTGGTCTGGCCAAGACGTATACCAGTAATGTTTCAGGTTTCTGACTTCGTCTCCTTTCTGCAATCCAGTTAAGACAAACACCACAAAAGTTTGACAAGAACTCACTGTAAATTGGTACTGAAACATGGCCTTCCCTTTAAGACTGAGGGGATTAAATCAGTCTGCTGGAAAGATAACACGGCTGGGAACACGCAGTCCAGGAGACCGCTGCAGAGCACTAATGAGATCTTTTTGGCTCAGAGGGGGTGAAGGAGCCAAAAGGGAGAGGTGTCCGTGGTATTAAATACATGGCTGGGCACATGAAGGTTGGGGGCAGCCTTGGCTACAGTGGCCAAGAGATGGTAGAGGATCCTACATGGAAGGAGCAAGGGCAGTAAGTAGGATTGCAAGCCTGAACTTTGGAAGACAAATTTGATACCTTCAAGGACTTAATTGCAAGAATCCCTTGAATTAGGGCCCCGGAAGATGGGGGAATCCAAGACAGCTCCTTAATATTCAAGTATCACTTCCTCCAAGCTCAATTTCAATGCATCCCTCTGGGTAAGAAATCATGCAAAGAGGGCAGGAGCCATGCATGGATGAGCAAGAAGCTTTTGTAAAAAAAAAAACAAACAATCAAACAAATACAAAAAACAACCCACAAGAAGGAAATTTATGGAATATGGAAAAAGGGACAGGGCACTTGGGAGGAATATAGGAATGTTGTCAAAGTATGCAGAGATGTTACAAGAAAGGTTAAGGTCCTGGCAAGGGATGTCAAGGACAACAAGAAGGGTTTCTTCAGTTACATCAGTAGCAAAAGGGAGAGCAGGGAAAATGTAGGATTACTGTTGAATGAGGTGGGAGCCCTGGTGGTAGAGGATACAGAGAAGGCAGAATTACTGAAAGCCACCTTTGTGTTCAGTACTCATTGCCAATGCTGGCCCCTCAGGAAAATCCCAGACCTTGAAGACAAGAAATTCCGGAGAAAATGACAACTTTCCTTTGGTTGATGAGTATTGGGTTAGAAAGCATTTGGGTAAACCTGACACCCACAAATCCATGGGCCCCAATGAGATACACCCTGAGTGCTGAGGGAGCAGGCAGATGTAACTGCTAAGTCACTCTCCATCATCTTGGAAAGATCATGGAGAACAGGAGAGGTGCCTGAAGACTGAAGGAAAGCCAACACCACTCCAGTCTTCAAAAAGATGGCAAGAAGGAGGACCCAAAGGGCTACACACCAGTCAGCCTCAGGTCCATCCCTGGAAAGGCAATTAAATAGCTCACCCTGCATATCACCTCCAAAAATGTGCAGGAAAAGAAGGTTGTCTGGAGTATTCAGCATGGATTTACCAAGGGAAATTATTCTTGACTGATCTGAAAGGTTCCCATGGTGGTATGACTGGCTAGGTGGATGAGGGAAGAGCAGGAATATTGTCTGTCTTGACTTCAGCAGGGTTTTTGACCCAGTCTCCCATAACCTCCTCATGATGGAAACTCAGGAAGCATAGGTTAGATGAGTGGGCAGTAAGATTGAGAACTGGCTGAATGGGTTCAGAGGGCTGTGATCAGCAGCAAAGAGTCCAGTTGAAGGCCTATAGCCATGGCCTTCCCCTGAGATCAATAAGTTCAGCTCTGTTCAATTTACTCATCAATGACCTGGATGAAGGGACAGAGAATACCCTCAGCACATTTTTTGATGATGATAAAATCTAGGAGGAGTGTCTGACACACCAGAAAGCTGTGCTGCCATTCCATGAGACATGCGCAGGCTGGAGAATTGGAGAGAGGGGAAGTGATGAAATTCAACACAGGCAAGTGCAGGGTCCTGCATGTGGAGAATAACCCCGGCACCAGTACAGTCTGGGGGATGACCAGCTGGAAAGCAGCCTTGTGGAGAAGGACCTGGTGGACAACAAGCTGCCCACAAGCCAGCAGTGTCCATGTGGCCAAGGAGGCCAATGTTGTCCCGTGGTGTATTAAGAAAAGCAGAGTTGTCAGGTTGTGAGCAGTGATCCTGTCTCTCTACACAGCCCTAGAGAGGCCTCACCCTGGAGTGCTGTGTCCAATTCTGGATTCCCCAGTTCAAGAGAGACAAGACACTACTGGAGAGGCTCCAGCTGAGGGCCATGAAGGATTAGGGCACTGGAGCACCTCAGAGGGAGCTGGGCCTGTTTAGCTTGAAGGAGAGATAACTGAGAGGGGACCTTATTAAAATCTGTATCTGAGGGGAGCATGTCAAGAGGATGGGTCAAGGCTCTCTTCAGTAGTGCTCAGCTACAGGACAAAGGGCAATGGGCACAAACAGAAACACAGAAAGTTCCATCTGAATATTCCATCTGAATATATTTTTGAGGGTGACAGAGCATTGGAAGAGGCTGACCAGAGAATTTGTGAAGTCTCTTTATCTGGGATATTCAAAATTCACCTAGAGAAAAACACATGCAACCTGCTTTAGGGGAACTTGCTTTAGCAGGTGGTTTGGACCAGATGATCTCCAGTGGTCCCTTCCAACCTCAAACATTGCTAAATGGAACAGAAATCCAAATGGGAAGGCACACAACAAAGAAATCTGAACTTCAGATATCATGACTGCATTTCAGTAAACTGCTTTACAAAAAAAACAAACTCAAAAAAATTCCTCCCCCCTCAAAATATTCTGCTCTTTTAGTGCCAAGAGCTGTGTGCAAAACACTCCAGGCAGTCTGTTCTCTCTTGACAGATTCATTCAGCAAAGCCAGAGCTGTGCTTGTGACATAATTGCTTTCATTATGTATTTGACAGACAGAGAGCCAGGAGCCATATCTCTGTCTCTGATAGCTAGATAAATAGATGAGGGAGAGAGATGGGAGGTTATTTTTCTATCTCTTCTGACAGACAGACTTATATTGGTTTCCTGTCAATTCTGCACTTCTCTTAGACATGGTGAGAAATTCAGAGGCAGTATGGAAGGTGGGAATTTTAGCTAGCTGTGGTCCAGGTCTTTTTGAGAGATACAAATTCTGATTCTCTGTCTCAGCATGGTTATGAATACAGAAAATGTGCTATTTCCTTTCTGGAGTGCCAAGTAGCACTGTGAGCTTCTGATTTTGTGTGTTCAAAGTGATATCCTTCTGACTGACTTCTAAAGGTACTAAATAGTAACATCGTGTCCAGGGAACTGGCTTTACCCTTGCAGCCATTTACCCAGCTGGCACAGGGCATAGTAAATGTTTGCAAAAGGTCCAAGAACAGAAGTGTTAGCTTCCACAACACTCCCTTCAACACATGGCTGGCTGAATTGGAGAGAGAGAAAAAAAAAAAAAAGACAAATATAACTCTTTCTAAAGAACAACGCACAAAAATCTGAAAATAGATTCTGTCATGTATACTCCCAAGTCCCTCCCTATGCTTGTCAGTCACTAGATGCTAAGAGTGCTGTGTGGTTGTGCATTTTCCATCCTTCTCTTTGGATGACAGAGCTTTTTGCACAGCTTCACAGTGAACTAGATTGAGAAAGCGATCATGTTAAATCTTTTTCCTTTCTTGAGACGGATTAATTTTCAGATGGATCAATCAGGTATCCTTTTAGCTTGGCACACAGTCACAAACTGTGACATAAGAGATGGCACAAGGGTCAGAACAAGAGCTGCACAAAGGGAGGCTCGGCATCATACTGTTCCTTCCTACACTGTGTTTAAAGCAGTCATGGAAGCGTAGCCATAGGATCCTTAAGGCTGTGTCTAGCTCACTTCAGGAAAAGAGAGCCTTACTATCATAGCACAGAGTCTGGCCTTAGGTTATTTATCCTAGGGAGAAAATACTCCGTTTAAAAGAGCATAACTAGTTATCATGAATCGTACTTGAGCTCATCACAGTAAATCTGATCAACACTGCTCTGAAACGCAGTTGCTTTTGAATATGTGACTATGTGTGAGTCACAGAAGTTATGAACATCCAATTCTTAACTCAGTTGTGAAAAATTATAATAAAAATGTTGTCAATAATACTGAGAGAAAAGTAAAATTAATCTGAAGAAAAACATGAATCACTACATAAGTAATTTAGTTGACAGCAACAGAAAACAAAGTTCTAATGCTGAACTCTGGATACCTTTAGTTTTGTGTACTGTGAAAAGTTTTATGCTCCTGCTTGGAGAACCCTGACTTCTGTGGTTCTGTACACTTCTGCTTTGACTTGAACAAAATATTCTCTATTGATGGTTCCTTGAGACTGAGAAGACCTGGGAACAACTAGGAGGAAGCAAGATTAAATTGATGGTTTGAAGTCTACCATCACGTATGCTGTAGCTGAGATCATGACTCAGTGGCAACATTCCCTGAGAAAGGAAAACAAGTCTTGCCTATAAGCCTGATCTTTTTCTAAATTCCCAAAACCTGACAAATCTTGTCCCCTGTACTGAAAAATGACAGTCCACTCTATGAAGCATGCAGTAATCATGTATTTCTGAACACTCCTGTTTAAGGGCAAACTGAAGTCAGTTCATGGCTTTTCCCATTTTCACTACCAAGTCACTTAATGTATGCATGGTTCAGAGCTGCTGCTCCACTATTTCCATTAAATGACAAATGCACAGCTCTAGGGAATGGTAACTTAAATGGAATCTTTATTTCAAGTCTAGAACTCAGCAGTATGCATCCTGACATTTGTGGGTGGAGGAAAGAGACATTGACCCACTAGTACTGAAAACAAAACCATTGTCTAACTGAAAAGCAAAACCAGATGAGCTGCAAGTCTGCAACATGTAAATATTCTTCACTTCCCACTTGTCAGGGAGTGTGATTTTCTCCTTGCTGCCTTTGCCAAAAGCATGAGTGACAGACTTTCTGCACTCTGAATCCAGACATAAGATGTCATATGCTGGCTTTCTGCCCATTAGCATATGGCTGAAGAGACTAGAAACTAGCTGGATAAAAGGAGTTCTTCCCGCTTGGAAAGAAATTGTCATGTTATACTGAGGTCGGGGTAGATCTGGCAGATGAAAGATGTATGAAGTTTATGTAAACAGACTGTTACTGAAACATCTAGCTTGATATTCTAGAAGCTAGCAATGAAAAGAGTTGTTAAATAGGACTCTTACTTTAGATTAAGTAGTATCTATCTAGAGTACTTAAAAAATTAAACCAGTGCTAATATTTTCTATCATACCTTACTAGGTATGTAAAACTACACTTGCAAAGTAGGAAGCTCTCTGCAAGCTGACATTTCATTCTAAATGATCAATGAACCCAGAGGAAAAGGCACAGAATGAGTCACTGGTTTCTTACCCAGTGAACCCCATATTACTACTACTGGCCTGGTGGCTTTCAGACTGCACACATGCAGCCTAAACCTCTGACTGCTTATCTTCCTGTAATCTTCATGCTGGTGAACGGGGCAAAGCTAAGACTCCAGTAATGAAAAGTGGTATTTGTACAGCAGTACACTGTGCAGAAACTTTCTACACAACTCCCCCTGAACATCTGCATTTATAGATTTAGACAGCTAAGCTACTGTAGGTACATTGGAATGATTTACCTTTAGGGTGATGAGCCTTAAACGGTAATCGTCTGCTTGTATGACTCTGTTAACTGTGATTTCTATTCCTTCATAGGTGACCTGTTCCTCTGGCCAATATTCTGTGCATTTCTGTGTTCAATATAAAACAAATCCAGTTAAAGCAGGTATCAAGGGAGGCTTGTATTTTTTCTCCCCTGAAATTGAATATAGAACATGCATAGATGAATATGAATAAATTTTGTTTCTATAATAAGTACAAGCTTTCACTTACTAAACAGGGACACATTTCAGCTGATTTTTGCTGCATCCATAATAGCCTGATTGCTTGATTAAAAATGCAGAAATCAAGTAATTAGTAACCAATGCTTTTAAATACACACATCCTTATTTATCTTTATGCAACTGATGTGCATTTTGAAGGCTCATTAGAGAGGCCGGTAGCAATGTGCTTGTGTTTTTTAAATTAATCCTTTTCTTAAGATAATAATGATTAGTATTATATACACTAGTTACCAATATATCTGTGCTGCATATATACTGATATAGAAACACAAAATACAGCTTTTCTATTTTTTATAAAGACTCAATGCTCTCTGAATATAAAATGATCATTTGTGTGTGCTTTTGCACAAAATAACATGACTGGGGATGTTTGGGGAAATAGATTACGTACCAAAATCCACTTAAAATTGTCAGTGAAAATCTTTCAAAGCTAGGGAACTAAAAGGCAGCAGTAGCTAAGAGAGAGGTTGGACTACTACATTTGATTTTGCCAAAAAAACAGTCAGAGATGCAGCCAGCACAACCTGACACTTAGAAACACAGAAACTATAGTCCATTTGCAGATCTGCTTTGTGGTACTGATACACTAGAGATGAGCCAGTGAAAATTTGTAAGCACTCTGATCCTGGAAAGAGGGCTAAAAATGACTGTGGTTTTGTATTTAGTTTCTCTAAATTAATCAATATGCAAAGGCAGAGACAGGTATTTCAAGATGGTGCACAAATTAATTCATGTACAAGGAATGACGTGAATGAGGCACAGCCTGAGAAAAAGGCTCCGTTGTGATAATGCAAGAAGCTATTTCATTATCACAGGGGAGTAGGTATCTGCTATTCAACAAACCTCAGTAAAGAAGATGCTTGTAAGATTCCTTTTACACAGCTGTACACAATCTTGAACGAAACAAGTTGAATCATTTTGCTCTCCCCCACCAAACGTAATTCCACTTGAGGAGAAAGACTAACAACGGAAAAGTACTTGCAAAGTTACTGAGTCAAAATTTTATTGTGTGGGAGAATCAGTGTTCCATCTGCACAGTACATCAGTTAATAACCCACTAGGATTGTGGCCCACTGTGTCTCTGTAAAGTTATTTATGCAGATTGTGTTTTTTCTTCCTCTACTCATAAACAGCAGAATCCACTGCAAAAATTGTCAAGAGCACTACTAGCACAGACATTGCTCTGTTTAAAGGAGTGGAGTAAGATTGCCCACTCATTTCTGTGGGCTGTCAGTTCAGATTAGAAGTGACAGAGGGCTGAGGTGTAGAGCTTTTAATACACACATTAGTGAAGTCATTGCACTGAGGAAGAACAAAAAGCCTCTCTTACTAGCATTATTGCTGAGCAAAACTTTTGGGTTTGAATCTATGTACTTTGAGTTCTGTTATTCATCTATTAGTATAAGAGTTGCAGATAAATGAAGTGAGGGTAGAAGACATTTACATGAAAAGACCCTGTATTTATGAGATTGCTGACACCATTACATTTTTGACACAAAATGTATCAGGAAGCTCTGTTGTGATATACAGGCTGTAGCAAGCAGTAGTTCTATAGTACATCAGCACTGCAGTGCACTGCTTCCCAAGACTGATAAAGATGGGTGAAACACTTGGTCAGTGCAGGTAAGAGGCAACCCAGAAATCAAGGTTACTTGGCTTTCCTGTTCTGTTTTCCCATTATATATATATTTTGTTATGAAAACTATAGTGGAAGAACATATCACATGTGTGATTCAGGACCAGCACTTCCTCTGCATCTTCTTTAAACCTCAAAGTCCTCAAAAGATTCTGGTGTACTGACTGTGTGATGACATTTTAGTATCAGTGTGTGCCAGTATGTGCCAGAAACTGGCCACTTTGATTAATGAGCGAGTTATTGCTTCAGTGCTGCTACTCAGATGCAGGCAGGTGCAAGTTTAAAACATGAGTGAAAACAAAGCATTCAGATCAGCAACATACTCTATTGTTATGCATCAGTAATGCTGTGACAGGACAAGTTCAATGAGCCAGCTGTAATAACTGACCATTTTTAACTTGCAAAGCATGACATAGTTCTGTGTCAGACTTATTCATATCTTTTTTCAATTGAGTTGAAGATTAAATTTATTTACTTTATAATTATGAAAAGCTGAAGGCTTGTGCATGTGCATGATTATGGGCACTAAGCTTTCAGCCAGCAGATAAGCCATTACAACTCTGTCTGTATGCTGTACGTATGTATGCCCATAATCTTTGGCTTCTAAGCATCTAAAGCTTCTTCTCCAAACAAAAATCTCTAACCTAAATTACTAATCTGTTCTCAAGGACAAGCCTGACATACATTGCTGCTGCATCTTAAGAAAAAAACATTTGGATATCTCCACTCAACCTTGCTGCCTTAGTGGTGAGGGAGGATGAAGGGCCCAACCTATGCCCAGACCACTTTCTCACATCTTACGCTGCCGGTAAAGGCAGACGTGAGCTCAGCTACCTGTCTGTGAGCTGAAGCCCAGGAACAAAATTCTTGCAACTCTGCAATCTGCTATGGGGGAAGGATTTCAGCAGGAAACTAATGAACAGCTGGAGGGCTGTAGTATTACAAACTCAAAAAAAAAAAAAAAAAAAAAAAAAAAAAAAAAAAAAAAAAATCAAATCACTACAGTGTAATTTGTGGAAGGAGGTGGTGAATACAAAATTTCAGCATCTTAATTTCAGTATTTCATAGGCATTCCTTAGACATATTCAGGGGAAAGTCCCCAATATCCAAGTCAGTTCAAGTTGTTGACTGTCATACAGAAATCAGGTACTTCAAATTAAGTGTGCATATAGGCATCAAATCATAATTAAATGCAAGATAAAGCAGCAACAACCCTACTGATTAAAGATATTCAGCCTTAGCAGTTATGGGGTACTATTGCTTTTGATTCCTTTAGAACTTCAAAGGCTGCCTGCAAATAGAGCTGGGTTAGAAGGGGTTTCAGGTCAGCTGAGAGAGGAAAATGGCAAAACCAACAGTAGAGGTCAGAGAGAAAAACAGGACTTACAGTAAACTGAATTGAAGGAGAAGCCCACATCTTCTCTGAGCCTGAAGAATTTAATGCTGGCTCTGATTGCACAGGCCATTGAACTAACTTCTGTTTGTTGGCTTAGTGTGTATGCTGAAAATATCTGATGGATTACAGATAAAAATACTGACTGGATGTAACAGCATTACCTCATTCATCTCTTCTATATTGGTAATCATGACAATGATGGGAGAACGCTCCTGCCACACCATTCTCCAGAAGTCAGTGACAGTATTAACTATTGGTCCCTGAGTAGCAATATATACCTTTTCCTCTCCTCCATAGCCCTGCCAACAAAAGAAAAAGAGATCAGTTTTAACAGGGATGTCCTCCATAACCTTGAAGGTTTGCTCTTCAAAAACCAGAGAGCCATCCTGGATGGAATGCTGACTCCGTGGCACCAGCTCTCCTCTCTCTCTCCTGCACATGTGTACATGGAATGAAGGCACAGTACGGCCTGGAATTCATGTAATACCAGCTAAGAGTGTCCAACAGCCTTGCGGTGACTCTGGCTAGGTCATGGGCCTTATTCAGGCTGATAATCCAGTGCCTTGGTTAGGCCAGCTGACAAGGAATTTTGCATTAAGAACTGCAGAAGTATGTTTCTGTCTGGTCTGAATCTATACAGGTACACTTGAGATTTGGGTTTCAGCTAATGTAAGCGTTAGAGAGAAGAGCAACAAATCAGCTAGGATGCCTCTAAAAACCAGTGTATGCTGCAATTCTGTTTACATTAACAGTGGCTGATAGAGGCTGGGCAGATACACTGGGCTACAGAGCTCTTACCCTGATGTAGTTAGCATTGATGTAAGAGCTGAGGGGGTCATCCTGATCAGCTGAGGTAAGGCACACTCTGCTGTGCGGATCTGAAAGGTGTAAGGAGATAAAGAATAGTTTATCAGTTGCTCAGAGGAAAGAGACACACAAGATAATTTAGTACAGCAAGACATTTGCATGCATTCATGGCCATCACAGCAGACGTGAGCAGCCTTGGAAAACCCCCATGTTAAGACCATTAAAAAAGGGAAAGGATGGCTGGGGTAATTTGCAGCCTTCTGACAGTTTCACCCACTCTCCGAAGCCTGCCTTAATTGGTCCTGTTGCAGAGTCAGTGCCTCAGCATGACTCTAGAAAAGCAGTTTTCTGCTCCAGGAAATTATTTCCCAATCTGTTAGGTCAACAGACTCATTCTGGCTTCAAAGACACTAGAATATTGTTTGTGAAATGACAGCAAAGAGCTTTTCCACCAAAACATAAACATGCATTTCTTGCACCCAGGCAAGCCAGATGACAATAACTTTCCCTGTTTCATCTTGCAATGAACCGAACTCCAAGATGTGCTATTAACAAATATAATGGTTATAGAGAAATTAAAAAATATTAACAGTCTCTTGCATTTTAAGTCTCTTCAGTACTTGAGTCTCCTTCATTGAGGCTGTTTATGAAGCATTATTCTTGTTCTAATAAGATGACAAAAGAAAACATTATTCCACTTAAGAAGGTCAGTCCAATTCCCACTGAAGTCAATGGCTTCACTGATTTTAATGGGAACTGACACAGGCCCACGTTCATCCACTTTGACCAGTTTGTTACCATTGACAAGAAACATCCTCCTGACAGAGGCCTCAGCAAACAAAACCAGTGTATATGACCAAGATAATATTAAAAACAAACCACAGATGCCTTTTTCATAAAGAACCTCAGCTGGTTTAGAGAGCAGAATAAAATAAAATTTATGCAAAAATTGTGCTTTACCCAATATCATATTAAGGACTAAGCACACAGTCATTTTTACAGTACTACAAACACAGAATCAGCATGAAATGCTGTTCTCAGACAGACCAGATACATGTTTACTGGGATATTTGGCTTTGAAGCATAAAGAGAATGTTTAGGTCTCCTTGCTACCCCCTTCTTTACTGTCAGCACCAAGCCCTGTGGAATGGAGGCAGTGGGATAAGAGTGAGCACTCAGGCCTCTCCTTTCCTCAGCAATATCAAGCTAACCTGTGGCCACAGTCAGGTAAAAGTTCATTCAGAAAAAAATCTCAGATCATAATAAGGCCAGAAATTAATTAACTTTTACAGAGATGGCTGGGCAGAAAGCAGGTATCTGAGATGAAGAAGTCAAAGTGACAACAGTGGCTGCTGGCAGATACCCATATGGCTGAAATGAAGAGATACCAAATTCAGAATATACAGATCACTTAGAGATCTGGCACCTTGGGCATCTGAAATCAATATCCACTTCTGCAATCTTCCTGTTCCAGCAAAACCAGTAAATTAATACTTGAACAAATCACCTCAGCCATTAGCACAGCAATGGTGAAAAGTGGTTAAATGCATTTACACTTTTCATCTGAGGTAGAGTACAAAGTCATCAAAAGAGTTGCACACCTTGGGCTGCATTTGCTGGAGCTTGAACACATTAAAAAGAAATCTTTTTTGAAACCATTTCAAATCTAGATTCATTGACTATCAGGTATAGCTGAGGACATTTTTGACTTCACTACACTTATATTTGATAACCACACATTGAACCTTTTGGATTTTGCAAAAGACTACTCTGGATGGTGGTACCATCTTCCAATAGCTTAGAGCAAAAAGAAACAAAAAATACTTTTCTGTGTCATCTTAATGCTGTCAGGCCAGTTCTTAATATTCTCAGTCTGCAGTTGAAAAGGCATCAGTCAGGAAAATAATGTTGCTAGAATTTGATCTTTCAAAAGAAATTTAATGAAAGAAATCACTAAGTAATCTTAATAAACCAAGTTATTGGGTACAAATTTTAAGCAGCACCAAATGACGCCATTCTAATAACTCTAAAAAACCTAAGTTTCCATGAGGATCAGCAGCATTTTGGTTATCTGTGCTCTATACTCTTTGGAAATTTGATTTATGCTTTGGAGCTATGCTGCTGCTCCATGAACATGGCTTTTGGACAATATATTGTGGTGACAGTACACTTCATGCACTCAGGAAAGGAAAATGTAAAGCCCTTCAGCATGTGGAATAAACCATACTGCCTCAGTCACTTAAAAAGCAGAAACTTACTTGGGAGAATTGTTTTGTAGCGATTCTTACGCACTAAGCCTGGAATATCATATTCTTTTGGATCAACAAAGTTCATTGGAATTTCCTGTTTAAAAAAAAAGAAAAACAAAAAACCCACGAAAACATAAGAGACAGTCAGCAGTATTATTAGATTCACAGGAGGTATAAAAACCCCAAGCCCATTATGTCCTCCCTGCGAGGGAGGCAAAGCGATGAAGTCAGCTGGGACATATTGTACAGTACTTCTAGCAACTTACCACCAAAGTATGATTGATGTTTCCTTTTACTGTCACTGGCTTTCTTTTCTGAAATCCTTCATGTGAAAATGCTCCCAGTGACTAATTCATTGAGTAACATGCATGACACGTTCACTCCTAATATTATTAGAACTGAATTGCAAGTGTAGGCACAGAGCGATGCAAGAGGTGGAACGCAAGACACTGCTCCATGAGGATGGACCTCAGCACCATCCTTTCTGACTCACGTTGCTTCCTCCCTGAGGGTGGAAGTTAATAATTTGCTGGGGACTTGCACCAGCAACAAAGTATGACACGCTTTATGACAGGCTGGTGTGCTGACCTGACTCCATGGAGCTGGGGGAACGTCACTGCTTTGCTCATCATGCTGTCAAGCTCCATGGAAAAGGACCGCAAAGATGTATTTGGGGATTGCCTGCTGATGCAAAGAGCACACGAAGATGGAAGGGTTTCCTATTCCCCACTGCTCATCCCCTGAAACAAGTGGCCAGTGCCAGGTGGGAACAAACAGGAACCTCCAATCAGCTGGAGTCAGTAGGCAGGTGAAGAGAAGGGATGTGTTAACCTGGCTCAGCAGGGATATGGCTCACGGGAACTGGGAGGCAGAGCTGGACATCCCAGCTGCTGCACACTGGATTTGAGAGACCACTGCAGGACAGATTGGTAACAGGAATCAGGGTTTCGTAAGGCAAGCCTCACTCTGGGAAAAAATAAAGATGGGCAGAGCTATGGATGTAAAAACAAAGAATTATTAAGGCTGAAATTGACCTCTAAGATCACTGAGTCCAACCTTTCACCTCGAACCTCCATGTTTACTGCTAAGCCATGTCCCTAAGTGCCACATCCACATGTTTACAAACACTTTCATGGGTGGTGATTGCACCACTTCCTCAGGAAGTCTGTTCCAGTGCTTCACCCCTTTCAGTGAATAATTTTTAACTAATAATTTTTAACTAATAATTTAAACCTGCCCTGGAACAACTTGAGGTCAGTTCTGGAACTTTAGAAGACTATTTGCACCCCCTCTCTTACAAAGCACAGAGCACACTGTTGGCTTTAACCAGAGGCAAAGAAGGACAAAAACATTTTTCTGAAGTAATTTCCTAAAAATTGCAAAAACTGCATGGGAACAAAATCTTCATGTTTCTCTCAACTGTTCCTTGGTATTTAGTCAACTCAAGCTCTTCCTGAGCCAAGCTCCATGGGCTGTTTTTGGGTCTTAAGTCCATTCTAGCCAATTCTTGGTGAAATCAACAGGAATACAGCCTGAGTAAAAACTCTATACCTTGTATAAATTTCATGATTTAGCCCTGTTAATGTTCTCCCTGACTTTTCTTCCAAAATGAAACAGCTGTTTGCCTCATCTGGGATCTGGACTTTTAAAACCAAGTAGGTTAGACAGAATGAAAACATATGATGAAGATCTAGCTGGTGGTAACTGTTTCATAAAAAAAGAACTAGTGTACAGTTTTTAATTGCAGAAATGACATTTTGATTGCACAGCATTTTGTGCTCTTTCAGTTTTCATTAAAGAATGAAAATAGCTTGGGATGGCTTGGCTGCTGAATGATTCTATGAACACCAGGAAACGTAATTCAGAATATCTCAGATGAATAAAGTGCATTTTTTTCCTACTTCTAACATTATTTTCTTTGCTTGAAAGCTCCAGAGTAGCTCAATGACTGAAGAAACCGTATGTGGACTAGTCTAGCAGTCAGTTCAGACATCAAGTCAACATTCCCTCCCTAAAAGAGCAATAGATGCTTTACTTTAGAAGAATCAAGGCTTTGCCTACAGAAAAGCTGCTTTCACTCCTAATATTATTAGAACTGAATTGGAAGTGTACAACTTGTACAGCACTATAAGAATTTAGGACCACAGATACTCTGTGTTCTTTTTTAAAACAGAAGCCCAGACTATACCCCTGTTCTTATAAAGGGAAAAAACCCCTGAAACTGCACAAGGAGGGAGGGCAGCAAGTGATAATCAGAGTGGCCTTTCCCTTTCAGACACACAGAGGTCATGAAGAGGACAGGCTGAAAGAGCTGTAATGTTGCAAAACAATCTTCCTCCTGCTCTGCTGAGATTTCATGCTTAAGAGAATGTTAGACATGGCAGTATTAACTTCAGTAGTTTACAACTACTCAATTATTTTTGTGCAGAGAAAAACCCCGGTGATACATACTTTCTATAGCTCCTGCTGAATGACAGAGCCACACTGTGTTTCAGATAACCAGAGAACATTTAGATTTGGAAAGTAGCTCCACATTAAGCACTCAACAGCAAAGAGGGTGGATTAGGACTAATTTCATCCCTAGGGCAACTCCAGACACATTTCAAGAAGTCATGCTTATAACAAATGTGGCTTTTCTTCTGAAGTGTAGTGATTTTATTTGTTGCTGTTTTTAAAAAGGTAATATACATCAGCAAAAAACAAAAAAACCCACAAAATCTCATGAAACAAAGACTCCTTGTTGTCATTTCTGCCAGAACCAATTCTCTAGTTTTTAAGTGACAGTATCACTGAAAGCTTTCAGACATTGTAATTTAAAGGAAAGATAAATTTGGGAATTTCATTAAATGCTTGACTAACAGAAACCGAGTTTGAATGTACTACTTTTAGACTGGCAGAGAATAATAAGGTCTTCTATGGAGAGACAACATCCCATTTTTATTGATGCTCCTAGAAGAGAGAGGTGAGACACTCACAAAGAACTCTGCCTGAAGTATGAAAGGATCCAGTGCTTTCTTGTGCAGCTCCTCCTCAGTCAGGATGTTTGATGCTGTCTGGAGGTATTCTCGGGCTGATTGCTCCCGTGGGGACATGACATAGCCAAAGCCTTGCTCAGAGCAGCCTGGGGTGCACATATCCAGTGTGAGTGAAACATTTGAACCTCTCCTGCAAAACAGAGCAGTCAAAGTTTGCTTACAACAGACCCATCAGTGCTAGCAATGACAGACAAACAACTTTAGGAAACCACCCAGATGGTTCTGATGGGGACATTTTGGTCAGCACCTGTAAGAAAATGGGTGATGCTTCTTGTGTGGACAAGACCAGAAGATGATTTTTTACACTGAAACGTCACTGGAGTCAGATCTTGGGATACACTACCAGTTCAACTTTATTAAAGACTCAAAAAGCCAGTCACTGCAGTGAATAATTTTTCTATCTGAAAAATGTTCTTTCCACAACTTTCCACAATCATAACAAAGGTAAAATGAAGGTCCCAACAGTTTATCAGTTACATTATAGAGATACTGTTGAGTGCAAAATTTTTACTGTTAATTAACCACACAACAAACCAAAAAAGTCAAAATGCCTACTATGAATAAAGTTTTAAAGCACTTCTGTTAGCCTCACATATGATAGTCAAAAGTAAGATTCAAAAGCCGTCAGTGAATCTATATTTAAATATCTTTAACATAATAATAAAAGCCACACAATATGATGATTACTAGGTACAGGTTCTATACATCCACACAGTAAACCTATTTTTGATTAATCTTAACTCAAAAAATTTAGTTAGAAGGTGTGTGCAGGAGCTATTAAAAACCATGTAAGCACGCAGGTATGACCAACTCACAGAAAGAACAGAAGTCATCACTTGGATCACAGCCCTTTCCTGGACTTAGGAGTTTGTCCAAGGGAATTTGCAGCCAGCCTGCTGCTATGATTCACAGCCATGGGGAAATGCCACTAGTGGCAGACATGGAATATTTAGTGACACCTTTCAAAGGATTTCACCATACCTTCCTGTGTGCTATTAAACAGTTACCACATTTCTCCCCTGAAACCGATGCATTTGACAAGGATTGCTTTTGCTTCTTTTAAGGTAGTAGAGGCTACCTACGTTAACAGTTCTTCAGCATGAGGAAATGAGATTATTTCTTCTTATCAATATCCAATGGTGTTTGAATTTAGCTGCTGACCACTCTTTTAATTGCATAGGCAGTTAAGGAATGAGAGAAAAGAGAAAAGCAGAATAGATGCCAGAGGCACAGGTAGGTAACTTAACACAACACCAAACAAAGGAAAAGTTTGTAACAAAGGAAAATATGTAATGTAAATGAAGTTTGTCAGGGCACAGCTCAAACCTGAAATGATGTCTTTCTTCTCAAGAATGTATGTTGAAAGCAAGTTTATATCTTAAGTGTTCACAGCATTGTACCTAGTTTGAGAACTTGAAGCAATTGCTCTCATTCTTTCACTTCTAGTTATTTGACAGGTTCTTCATTGTAATTCATTACTTTGACCAATTGATTACTCCCCAAGCAATACTCCCCAATTCTCTTGATTTGTGTAGGCTAGCAGTCACCTGAGGAGAAATGTCACATCTTTAAAGTGACAGAAATGGAATGAAATCAGGGATAGTGAAGAACACAAATACTCACTTATTTCAAGCCCAATCTTGCCTATAATGAAAAATCAACAAAACAGCAGTTTCAGGGACAAGCCCCAGAGGGCTTGTGATTTCATGTTAAGATAGAATAAAACAATAAAAGGTATAAGATTTTAGGACAATGTTATAACAAACCATAACACAATAAAAAACATTCTAAACCCACAAGAGTGCAAATTGAAAGCCTCTTCTGCAACACTCCTTTTTACTGTATCCTGAAGAGCTTTGGAAAATCAGCATTGTATTCTTAAAATCTAAGTACTGTCCTTTGTTTTAAGCTTTAGAGATGAATTAACTATGGTTAGCACTCCAATTAAAACTGAGAAATAAAGAAAGGTGATACTTTGCTATACTGGGCCCTTCAGTAACTTCATTCTTATTCAAAACAGCCTCACTTTTGCAGAATTTCTTCACAGAAATTCTATCATCAAGACCTTTGCCCTATTTCACTAAACAACTGAAAGGGCACAAAACAGAAAAATATTTATCTTTAATCTTTAAACTGCCCTTTCCCAGCTGTGAACCTCTCTGAGAAGCTCCCGATTTGCCTGAGAAACTCCTTTTTTCAAGCTGCCCTTATGGTTTAAGTAGTGAACACCAGCTCACCCCAAAGTTTCATTACTGGGTTCATTTGAATAAAATTCTTTTACTTTGGATTAACTCATTTATATGAGTTAGAGACTATTGCTTTTTCTATGGTTTGCTTTTGGAGAAAAGACTAGTCCTCCAGTATGAGTGACAAGGAAAAAAAAAATAATAAAAAAAATCAACAAGACCCACTTCTTTCAGGGGCAAAAGCTTTCACTGCTCTATAGGGGATTTCATGCAGCAGTTGCTGTCTTGATGAGTAGTGAGAGACTGGTCAAACACAAATAGATGTATTCAATGGAAAGAAATGATGCTTTAGAACAGCACTTGTTGACAGCTGTCCAGTCCTAAATACTGGACTAAAAAGAGGACAGGAAATAAAGCAGGTGCTTGACTTTACAACCACATTTGAAAGTGACACTCACAAAAGCAGTAAAGCTTCCTACTAGGCACAGAACTCCTAAATCCACAAAATCTGGGAGCAGACTTTTCCCTATTAGTCACATCTACCCTACCTTTCTTGCAATCCCATGGATTTAACCGTCAGAGTAGCTGGGTCTGTCTCTGCTTTAATATCCATCATGCAGTCAAAGACTGGAGTCTCTGGTACAGGATCCAAATCTAGGAAGTCATCCTCGTTTTTATCCTCTGTCCACTCTGAGTACGTGAAGGAAGGCTGCCGGCTCACAGACTGGCGTCTGTCCTCTTGCAGTGGAAAGGGGGGGTCTGGTCGGGCTCTGAGGAGTTGCCAAAACTGGAGGAAACAAACATTTTAAAAAGTTGCTGCTTGCAGCCCTTCGGTTCAGCCTAGGGCATGGGTTCTTTAGGCAGCATCTCAGCTGTCTCTATTCAAACTGGAGAGTACAGAAGAGAACAGGAATGTTCCATGCAGGAGCAGCTTTGTGGTGTGTGTTACAAGGATTCACATCTACCCATTCAAACCTGCTTTCAGCCATAGAGGCTTCCACAGAGCCAGCCTGGCTTAACTCAGGGATACAGTGGAAGCGGAATGTGCTTGTGACCATCATATGCAAGCCAACGTGATACCACAGTTCTTTTGTTCAGTTTCTTATCCTTCCCAGGCTTGTTTACAAAACAAAAATCCACAATAGTATTCTATAAATCATATCTCTACTGATTTAATGGCTTTCCATTTGAAATTTACATATAGCTGTGTTAAGTTAATATAATTGAGCTGAGCATCTTTAATAACTAGGCATTGTACCCTGAATTTATGCATAAAACCCACCATTTTTTGAAAAGGCCCCAATTTTGATGTACTTGATCCTGGGGCTCAGAATGCCCATATCAGTTTTTGGCCAGGGGAAAAGACTGTTATAATCTAATTATCTGATTTGAATATGGCATAAACATTAAATAATGAATCCTGTGAAGTTTTAAGATGCAAGTGCAATGTGAAAGTTTATATTACAAATTAACGAAAGGTTTGAAATTGCATGAATCCCAAAAATTTCTGCATCACATCAATTTGAACAGATACTGTGATGGACTAAATGATTTAGAAATCAGATCAGTAGACTTCAAATCCTCCACACAGATTTCAGTTAAAAATTTCAAGCCCACCTCTGAATTCCAGGATCTGGGACCCTAGGCCAACTTCATCCATTTAGCATAGAACTAGGAGGAGTACCACTCAGGCTAATGACATATAAACTATACTGCATTGTCATGCATCCTTTTGAGACTAAGAAGAGGTCTTATTTTCCACAGTAAAAGCCTCTTCTGGCCTTTTCTTATGTGGCTTTTAAATGACCAGTTGAATTTTAAAAAGTGCCACTAAAGAAGGTCAAATTTCTCTTCATAGGCTACTAAAAGCAATTTAGGATGTCATGCAGGATTGTGTGAATTTCAACATTAGGAAAGCAGGGCTTGGTCATAAAGGAAAGGATCATAAAGAAAAAGACCCCTTCAAGGTCTCTTCTAGGCAGCACATGGCATTGATCTACTTAAATCAATTTTAAGTAGAGAGAGAGAGATATTACTCAGCTGAGACAAAGGGGAGAGCAAAGAAAACTGTCTTCATGCAACAACCTGCTGTTGATGAGCCTGGGCTTGTAGAAACCCTGCCTGGTTCAATCACCATTTCCAATGCTCTGCCAATGACTATGTTATAACTTAATCTGCAAATACTGATAAAAGCAGATGTTTTCAAATTTGCAAATTGCAATGCAGCATGACCTCAGACATCTGAGAGAAAGGTGACAGGCAGGAAGGGACGGGGCTCATGCTCTCCTTCCTAATGAGCATGTTAGAGAGAACATACTGGGGCAAGATGGACCATTGGTTGGAACTCACAGGACACTAATACTTGGCTGCCCGGTGACTTATCCAGAGAGCTAAGTGACACAGAGTAACATCTGTGCCTCTACTCTAGCTAAAAAATTCTTAGCACAGACCCCAGGAATACAAACCAGTACAAACTCTCCAACATGGAAACTGTCAGAAAAGGTTTTTCTGTACACAAATGTTAACCAACAGAAAAATGTGCCCAGTCTACTTTAATCTATAGTGGTTTTTAAGTTTACTTGCAAGGAGTTCACATGCAAAAAGAGATAATCATTTTTAGCTATGGAGAGCTTTCACTTAACTTCACCTTCTGTGCTAAGAATGGGTCAGCAATAAATGTTTTCATCCACAGAGAAACAGCTGAATATTCAAAAAATCACACCCGTGCTACTCAGATTTTCAGCTCAGAATATTTTGCTGAAAATTTATCTGGAACTCATACAGTTCTTGACAATTCTTACATGTAATTTTTGTTGTTTTGTTCAATATTTGTAATTACAGAATTACCAAAAGTTTATTTTTGAGAACAAAATTAATGTGGATAAGGTACAGCAACAGCAAAAAACCAGAGAATTGCATAAACCTCGCTAACTTCCTTGCCTACACCAGTGATCACAATAATGGAGGCATTAACTATAATTACTTTGCCTTGTGAGTGATTTTTAGAAAGTCCATTTTCCTGACACATTAAACACAAGACTTTGCCACTGTGCTGCCTCTGAGTAAACTTAACCATGGCATAGAATGATTCCCTTCCTAGCAGGGAATGTGGCCAGCAAATCAAAGGAGGTATTCCCCTCTCCTCGGCACTGATGGAGCTGCACCTTGAATACTGTCTACAAATTGAGTTCTCCCAGTTTAAGACAGATATGGAAAAACTGGAGTGATCCCAGTAGATGGTTTCAGAGGAGGTCAAGGGTCTAGAGTAGAGGAAAAACATGGAGGGAATTGGGTTGTTCAGCCTGCCAAAGAGGAGGCTGCAGTGATCTAACAGTGGCCTACAACTGCTTTAAGGGCAGCTCCAGGGATGCAGCCAGACACTTCTTGGTAGTGTCAGCTGATACCACAAGGGACATTGGCCACAAGCCTGTAGAAGTTCAGCTCAATCATTTACATTTGTTAAATTCAGATGAGACACTAGGAATAAACTCTTCCTCAGAAGTTCCACACAGTTGTGGCACAGGCACACAGAGAGAGGATAAACCTTCCTTCCCTGAAGGTTTTCAAAACCTGTGTGGAAAAAAATCATGGCTGACTTTACCAAGTGTTGGCAACAGCCTGGCTCCAAGCAGGATGTTAGGATAGCAATCTCTGCCCACCTACAGTCCCATGATTCTGGGATTCATTTCATGCTGTGCATCACTCAAACAGCATGTGCATAGCACATCTTCAACTTCCTGAGCTACCCTGGGGTACACCTCTGGAAGCACAGGAGGTGATGCTCTGCCTGCACGTTCAGCAGCTCCACTCTAAGAGAACAGCATAGAGGAGTTTGAAAAGCCACATCCAGTTAGAGCTCCCTGACAAGACAGTTCTCCACAGTCTCCCATCTACCACACAACTTTGTGTCTGTTACACAATCCATGGAGAAACACAACACACTGCCACTCCCCAACAGCTGACAGCTAACCAGATTAACCATAGTCATGCCACTTGAGCTTGTTCTGCAGCTGGGGCACTGGCCTACATCTAGCAGGACTTCATAGTCAGAAGAACAGTGGTTCTTTCTGCCATTGAAATCAATGGATGATGGTCCTGTTAATGGACCACATCCCTTCTACTTCAGTGCAAATAGTTTGCCTATCTGTGGATGGAAAAAATAAAAACCATTTTTATATACCATTCTACTTCAGTGCAATCCCCAATTCATCAAGAAACTGAGTAAGGCTAATTCCACTACATTAAGCAAGTGGATAATTATACAGAAACAGTCCCAAAAATGATGTTTTACAATCAACTTGGGCTTAACACCAACAACTTTCGTTTATAAGACATCTATAAAAACTCACTGAAAAAGAGCATGAATATAGTTTGTGCTGTATCATAACTTACCAGAGATCCTACAAAGAGCAGTCCTAGAGAAGCCAAAGACAGCAGGATGTATGATACCACAACACTCCCAACTGTAGTCAGGCTCTGTGGAACAACAGAACAGACAGTGATTCATGCAATGTTTAGGGGCACAGCACAGTGTCTACATGCATGTTCTTGGCCAAGTGTGTATTATTTCCCATGAAGCTTTACTGATATCATACTCACCTGTGGAAAAGCTTCCGTCATCACAGAAAAAAAAAAGCCAGACTATGCGGAAGACTGAAACTGAAACCATTTCTAAGCCCTGGCATCTCAGAAGGTCTAAACCCCAAATTTCACTGTGAAGGCAAACAAGAGTTCTACTTCCTACCCTCATGCTTTGCTAAGTTGAGATCTGAATCCACAATCCAATTTTGCAGACTGGATAAACGCTTCATTGCTACAGTCAGTGTGATTTTAAACTGTGGCAAAGGGCTTTAAACAAAGTTGAGCACTGTTCCTGGGTTTTGGGATCCTTAAATAGAATCCAGCCACAGAGGAGTTTTCTGTGTTTTCTACATATTCAGTGAAGCACCATCAGGTTAATTCACACCACTGGCAGGGGAATTAATTCTGATGTCATTTTATAGTAGTCTACAGTTCAGCCTGTTCTCTGCAGTAGGTGCAAAATTCAGTTTTGACGGGCTTCAGTGAGCAAGGAATTTTACTCTGTTTTTCTCCTACTCCTCAGTACAGCTAATGAGAAATTTGGAGTTAAGAGCTTCCATTTGCTTATTTTAACATCAGAAGATTTCTTTGCCTATACTGTTTTCAAGTGTAAATTTGCACAATAAATAGTGCTATAATAAACAGTCCTCAAACATATGCATGAACATCTGCACAGAGTCATACTTGGGGTGTTCTTGTGGTACATTCTAGGAATCAGTTTCTTCCATGAAGGACAATTATTGCAAGTCAAAATTATACAAATCAGTGACTTTCTGTAAGGAACAACAATTTGTTAATGATGAGCCACTGCAAATAAGACACAGGCAACAGTCTGTGAAGAGCTCTGTGCATAATAAAGCCAACTGCAAAAGGGCAAAAAAAAGTGCTTCTTTCAAAAAACCCCAAAAGAGCAGGTGACATCCAGCTCATAAACACTGAGAAAACAGAAAACAGTCCCTGCTGTACTTCAATCACAAGAGGCCCTGAATCAGATTTTCTATTAGCACTGCAAAGCCTCTGCCTCAAAGACTATGTACAATGGATCTAAGCATTCTGACGGCAAATATATTTCATCAGATTTTTGAAAGTACCTGTTCACCACTTAATTAAGGTTCTGGACACACTAGAAAAATCTGCACTGGGTATAATTACCAGTAATTTATCAGATGAATCATTCTGGTATACATGTCATCATGTCATGGTGAGAAGCTAAGCAATTTATCTGGGGAAACTCTGTAGATATAATTGAATCTGTGCACCTAGTACACTTGAAATACATTTCCTGCACACAGATCTGTTCTAAACACTCAACAAAAAAAAAAAAAATTTTTGAAACTATGGTGTGATTTGTACCTTTTATTTGGGTTGATCCATTCTTCCAGAATTTAAGCTTCTATTCATCCTAAGAAATGAAATTTCAGCCCTCCCTTTACTGTGGGCTAAACCTTAATGAGATGACTTCTTACTGCTTTGTTTCATTTGCAATAATTTTCACATAACAAGAAATCTGCTGTGTTGACCTAACATCATAGCCAAAAATTCAACCCAATATCTCAAAGATGAAATATTCATCTGCTTTCAGAAAACAGTTCTACCATTTCAGAATGTACACGTGAAACACACGCATATCATACTTATTAGAAAAAATATTAGAAGCACCACCCAAGGCTACTGACATCAGCTCTATAACCAGAGAGAAACACAGGGACTTACCTCCCCTTGATCTGAAAAAGCCTGTTTAAATGGGGTAAGCAAGTAAGAGAGCAGGTCAAAAGCATTCTGAGCTGCTGGGATGGTCCCGTAAGTGCTGTACCACAGCATCATGCAGAGAAGCTGTGCAATCAATCAGAAAAGACGTAATTAGCATCTCTCATTATACACACATTCATTTTCATTTCAAGACTGCATAATTAACTAATTTAGTTAGCATTGATTTCATGTTCATTATCGCTTTTGCTCTAAGAAGTCAGGTATTTTCTAGGCTGTGGCTTAACAGGAGTAAAAAGACTGAAGGCTCCAAGCTCAGCCACTATTAACTAGATGTGCATCACTGAGTTACACAGGCTCCCTCTGACCCCCACCAGCAAAAGGGCTGCCCAGAAACAGCAAGTGGAGCAACACAGAGAGCAACAGGTTCCTCTGGCTTCTGAACTTTCAGGATTACTACTTTTAGATCAAAACTAGTAATTCCATGAACTTAGGATATTATTAAAAGACTCTTAAGGCCTCTCTCAAAGCTCCCACAAATAGCCATGTTTCACATAAGCATCATTATAAATACACACAAATACACACACATAGAAGCTTTTCATTTGAACTACTTAAGGGTGCTGCACATGCCACAGTTAACATAAACTACAAAACCAATGACTTTGTATTTAACACACTCACAGAGAGGTATAACCTTATTCCCAACTGTAAAGGGCACTCCACAGCTTTAAAGAATACACTTCCCGCTGCACTTGTTAACATCTTTACCCCCATACATATCAGCTACAGAAAACAGATTTGGTGGGATATTGGTCATTTGGCAAAGGAGGCATTTGCAGAGCAGCAGGAGATGGGATAGGAGTCTGAGACATCAAAAGGCAGGGGCTGTTCTCAAGGCAAAGCCATGAGGTGGCTGCAGAAATTAGGACAGCAGCTATTCCCAGTGAATGAGGAAACCTCCCAAGCCAGCGCAGCCTAAAAGAAGGGTCCCAGCATCCCAAAGCTATGGCAAGCTGTCTTACCAGTATCTGAGAGAGGACAAACAGATACATGCTGTCTCCAGGGATTAATCCATTCCACTGGGGAGGCCAACCGAGCACTGCTGTTTTCTGGGAGGCTTTCAGGGACTGCTCCTTCCTCTTCAGCTCTCCTTGCCGTCCTTCAGCTTCATCCACTGACTCCATAATAGCTGGACGGGAACAACCTTCACGTGAAAACGACATGTGCAGGGGATGAATGGGATGTGACCCTGTAGGCACCGCGGGGGCTGCAGGGCTATTGTTTTCCTGGAGACGATGGTTACCTCTCAGTTCCGCCTCAGCAAGCGCAGCTCAGGATTGTGAGCGTCACACTCTATTAGTGCAGCTTTATTCACCTGCTTTCATCAGAAAAAAAGTGAGTGTGGGCGGATAAATTATTTTCTCTTTCTTTCCGGAGGTGCAGATTCTGGGCTTTGTTAACAAATTCTCATTTACATTGCTGCACTTTCTCATTTTCACTTTTTAAAAGCAGCTACCTGTGCTATTGCCTAGCTACACACTTCCCAGCTACACGATGGCAGAGAACCTATTTTTCCTTTTCCTGTCTCAATTTCTCTACTTCTTTTATTTGTCTGCTTTGTCTAATCCAATTATAAATTTCTGAGGTAGAGACTGTTTCATGTTATGTGTCTGAATAGCGCTCGGGGACTCTGGGTTTTGGCTGGATGTCCTAAGGCACTAATAAAACAGAATTTATTCCAATAACCTACTTCTTGGATGAATTCATACTCAAGAGCTATTTAATAATGTTGCGATGCTGTTCTGTTCAGTGAAAATGACCACTGGTGTGGCTATTCCCTCAGTAACTGTATTTTGAATAGAGTCTGTGTAGACTTAATTTCATTTACAAGTGAGAAGGAGCGAAAGATCAGAATCACTGGGTGTAAATCTTACTGACTTACATCTTTGTACATGAGGAATGCCCCAAGGCTGCCCTGTGTACGACACGGTAGACTTAAGCCTAAACCAGCCTCTTGTGTCCCAGGGAAAGGCCACACCGTTGGTCCTTACATGGTTTGTTGAGGTCAGGTTTCTACAAAATGTTCCTCTCAGCAAACATTTCTCTAAATGTCTCACAGTAGCACCTCTGAGTCAGATAAGCACCCATTAACTAGCCACAGCTCTAATCAGGCAGATGAAATGTATCTCTGCATCTGCTGAGGGTCTGGCCATAGCAAGAATTCATCTTTAAAAGCTTTTCTCTTTTAACGCTAGCCACGGGAAGTCTACCTCTGTCTTTAAAGCTGAAAAGTTTTAAGCTTCTAAACTGCTTCATGTCTCACTAGATTTGAACAAGAATTGAGAGGAAAATACTCATTAATGATTGCCAATTTTTTCCTGTTAACTTTGTGGGATGTTTATGTTCTGTGTTTTGGAACAGGAATTTGAAATTTAGCAGGGACAGAATCTTCGTGTCAGAAACTATTTTTGTCATCCTTGCAGAAAGACACACACCTGTGTCTCAAATCTAAAGCTTCAAAAATACCTACTTAGAGTTTTTTATTGTTTGCTCCAGAAGTCTCTAACCTTCCGTTTTCACTACACATAGTTTAAGTTCTACTTTTCCTTTATCTGCATTAAATAATGTCCCTCTTTCCCTAAGAATGATTAATGGACATATTTACTGTTTCTCCAGGTTCTGATGATTTCCTGTCTTGCATACTCCTTCCCAAATCTCAAGATAAAATAGACACAGAGCAAAACTAAAACATTGAGAAGACAACCAGACCAAGGAATGCAAGGAGGCAAGGAATGCAGATTTCATGCTTAGCTTTCAGCTGATTATAATAAGTCATAATATTTCATATTTCAGAACATTTTTTTAACTGACCAAAGGTGCTGCCTTATGTAGCAGGTAAACAGCATTTCTTTGTTTCATACTTGTAACAGCCTGAGATTTTACAAGGTCATTTCTAGTTGGAAACAACCCCTTGAATACAATACAATGATGAGAAGGCCACTTAATTGCATCTTCTGGAACAAAGATGTCAAAGTTAGGGCACTGCTCTGTATCTGTAACCATGGGGATCTGTGCCTCTCCACAGCCCAGAAGTCCAACTCCAGGAATTCCAGTGTTGTCTAGTAACACCTGTACAACTGCAGGGGTCACATTCTCCTTCTTACAACTGCCCTATATGAAGGATGATAGAGCACTCTTATTTTCAATTATTTTCACTGCATAAGGTAGAGACCTGCCCTGTGGACCTGGGAGCCCAGGATTCCAGCTCTGCTGAACTGACACTGTTATCAAGAGGTATTTTCACTAGCACAACAGAGGGCAAAAAGTGTAAGAACTAAAATAATGGAGAACTGGCTGAATCTATACATATAAATAAACAGATACATGTCTTGGATATACAAAGAGAGGGTCTAGAATTAACTGAAGTCCACTCAAAATTTTTCTCCTACAAATCCCAGAAGATTAGATTCTAACAAGTATAATGATGCCCCCCTCAGGTTCTATATTGATTTAACTATGCCAGCTTTAAACAATACTTCAATTAGCACTCATATGTCATCTTGCAATCCTATATTCCTGTATTGTTTATCCTAAGGGGCCCAGGATTCTTTCAGTTGTAGATGAGGTAATGAGTGAAACACAAGTGAAGCTTTCTTGTGTCAAGGTGAATGTGAAGGTCTTGAGAGAGCTGGCAAGGATGACTGCATCCAGGAATGAACTGAGCCTCTCTCCTGCTAGTGATTTGACTGACAGTGAAATGTAGCATCCATGTGATAGCTTACTCATTTCCTGCATCATGGAGATGGGGATTCAATTTCCATGAGTACTTCTGCTTTGGTACAAGACTACACTTGCCAGGGAAAAAAAAAACCTATTGGCAGAAGAATTAAAAGGTCTCTGACATCTGTAGCAACCATATGGCTTGTGAAAGCAAGTTGAAATTTCAAAACAGCATGATAAACTTAAACTCCTTCTTGCTGTTCAGGGAAAAGCACTTTCTGGATCATGCCAGGGATCCATTCATCCTGTATTCTTTCTTTACACAGTGCCACCAAAATTAGCTGCCAAAAATACACAGCACAGCACATTATCATATTATGGAATAATACATATATATAGGGGAACATCTTTCTTCACTCAGGAGGTAAAAGCTGGCTTCTATAACTCTGGCAATGCACATTTTAACCCCCCAGTATCTCTTTTTTTTTTTTTTCCTGACTTCATATATGGGTACATAACAGGCAGAAGAATAAAAAAGCACCTATATAACTCAGAAAAACAAGTGCTTAAAGTACTAGTCTTAGCTGAAACATTAAAAGGCACTGTAGCAATAATAATCAAGTCAACAAAGCCTTACAGTAACAAACATGTCACGATCCCATCAAATCCTGCTGTGGGTGAGGCATTAGCAGCTCTGTAACTCAACTGATTCATACTTAAAGCCTTCAGAGAAAAACAAAACAAAAAAACAGCCCCTCAGAACCTCACATCCTGGCTGTATTTCCTAATGAAGTTAACATTTTAAAAGGAACTTGTGTCCTCTCTTGTGCATGGGTGCTAATGCTCAAGGAATTGGCACAGCTCCATTGACAGACTTAATTTAACAACATATTTTTGAGAGAAAGATGTTCCTCAACAAAGCTGTTTTTATAACAGAAAGAAAACACACCCCAGCAATGAAAAGACAGTGCTCATACAGGCATTAGGCATTTATGCACATCCATCACACTGTCCCTGTGGGAATTGTGATTCTGGGTTGGATGGTACTGCCTCTTCACTGGGAAATACAGGTTTTGTTAATGGTGAATTCTACCTTCCAGACATAGAAGACAGGAGGGCAAAAGGGGTCTCACCTGCTCTGCCAAGTCTCAAGCTGCAGCAGCAAACACACCACAGCAGCTTGGCTGCATTGCCCCTAATTATTCTAGGTGTATTGAGGATATCCCTCTAAACCTGTCCACATCTTGATTATGGCCATGTGTGGTGAGAATCTGTAGGAATGGACCACAGAGTACAACAAAGCACAACAAAGTATGAACATGCCAGTGATAGCTCACATCCATCAAGATTACCAACACTTCACACCAGAGTCATAAGTCAGTTTACAGCCTCTGCATCTTCAGATGCCCAAATGCAACTGCCTACTGAAATCTCTGCCTCTAATTTCCATCTAACTGCTAGGGAGAACTGATATTGATGAAAGAACAGTAGATGAAAACACACTATTGAGATGGGTCTCAGTCCATTGCTGAAAAGAATTTTAACATGCACCTCAACTGCATACACAGGGCATAGCCCTTGGCAACACAGCTCACAGATTTGGTCAAGACCTTGTTAAATACACACATCACCAGACATCCTGATTGCAGGCAAGTCCAGGTGCTGGAAAGACACATCAAAGCTGAATGAACTGCCTCAGAGTCCACAAGAGGCAGCTTGTGCTAGAGGGTAAAAAGCCTGTCTTATCCAAAGAACAGAACTTTAGGAGAAAGGTATTGGCTAAGAAAACAATCTCTTTTCTTGGTTGCCACTGCAGCATGAGAAAGATGGAAACTGAATAATGAGCTTTCTTTTGCACTGCAGTAGTATGGGAAGAAGCAGGTAAGAGGAAGGGGACCTCTCATACTTGCATAGCAAAGGCAACTTGTGTACTTACATTCTTCACTCTGCAGGAAACCAACTCATGGGTCACTGTTTTATAACTCCAAAACTTTTCCTGAACTTCTTTATGAACAGCAATCTAATTTATTAAGCAGTAAATGTGACAGAAGCAGTATCATTACTGTTTACATACAGATAAAATTCACCACCAAGCAAAGTCTATTTCTTCTTGATTCTGTCTGCACTCCTAACTTATCTGATAAGTTATGTTGAAAATTTACACTAAAGATATAATGATCTGTGTTGAAAACTGGGGATGCTAGCCTCCCCATTATTCATTTTTTTAACCTTTCTCATCATGACAACTGCTACTCTGCTTGATGCCTGGCCTGCTCTGTTTACAAGAGTTCAATACATTTATGTTTTTCAAATGGCTGAGTAAAATGCTGCTCAGGAGGAGAGCATCTAGGCCCCAAAAGTATCCAGATTAAAAGCTGCGAAGAAAGACACCCCAGATGCACCCCACAGCTACCTACTACTGACTGACTGGAGATAGAGGGGATTTACAATGATGTAATCTCAGTACCTCCAATTCTGTTCTGG